CCCCCCCCCCCCCCCCTCAAATACTAAGTACACCACTAAAAAGAAAATCATAAGAAAATAAATTTCTACATTATTTGACCCAAAAATAAAAAATCAAAATTAAGAAAACATTTACCATAAAAAATCTAAACAAAGAAGAGAAAATAGACTACTAAAAGTGATACAAGATTTAGCATAACTTGAGTTTTCTTTGTTCAAGTCTAATTCAGTTCTCTTTCCTCCTTTTGGATTAACACCCTGGGCATAATGTCATCACCCTTCCTCTCAAAATTAAAAAGATTATCTTTCAAGAAATCAACAACAAAATAACAAAAAGAAAAGAAGTCCAAACACAGTCAATCGAGAAGTCCAATCTATTAGGAAAGATTAAATAACGAGAACAAAGAATAAAAAATAAAAATAAAAATAAAAAATAAAAAAACTAATCTATGGTGGAGACATGAGCATGCTTGCAAGAGAGAGGGGAGAAGAGGAAAGGGGAGGACTTTGAGAGGGGAAGAGAGCTTCGATTGTAAAGTAAAAAACCAAGTTTTTGTTGGTATATGAGAGAGAAGGTAGAGTATTCATGGAAAAATAAGAAAGGCATATATATATATATGATAATTTATTTTAGTTAAGTTATTCTTCATTCTAAAGAAAATAAAAATTCTTTCTTAACTCACCAACTTCAATATAATATATTATTAACATTAATTATTATATTTTTAATACTTTTTCTCTTTTATCTTCTTAATAATTATTTTTATTAATATATTTTTATAATAACTTTTCTCATTTAATTTCTTAATTATTATTCTCAGAATAGTTAAAAAATCACTTTTAAGAATGTGCTTGTTATTCAATAAAACATATTAAAGAGTTGGGATGTCATTTTGAAAATAGGTTTAAATATACTTTTAGTCCTTCAAATTTAAGGTAAATTTGTTTTTAATCTTTTAAATTTAAAATTGATCTATTTAGTTCTTGTAATTTCAAAAAAAAATATTTTAATTCTTATACTCAAATTTTGTTTAAAAAATTTTCAAATATTGTCAAATAAAATATACCTACTAATATCCTTGTTAGTAAAAATATCACATTAAAATCAATTGATGTTGTAGTTACTTTCAAATATGTTATTGGTGACAAGAGTTATTAAGACAAGATTTTTGAAAGTTATAGGAGTTAAAAATAATAGTTTTAAATTTGAAGAACCAAAACAAATTTATCCTAAATTTGAAGGATTAAAAACATATATAAACTTTGAAGAAAAAAAAAGTGCAGTTGACCTAAATCTGTGTTCAAAACAAGAATATTGAGGAAGAAATCAATGGACGTTGAGGAAAATAAATAAAAATAAAAGAAATTCATAAATAAATAAATAAAACGTGAATCTATGGACTAACTTATTCGGCCTGTAGCATGAGAATTTAACTAACCCAGGCCAGCACAGTCCAAACCCAAATATTCATTGCCGCAAATTTAGCCCGTAACTTGGGGCGAGGTTCCAGTAACGTGGCTCTTTACGTCCTGTTTGATTGCAGACTTTCAATAGTTGCCCACGTTTTGAAACTTTACTTGGGTCATTTAAAGTTATAGGAACGTCCATTTCTCTGTTTTATGGTTATTTATACAGTCTTTTTTTTAATCTTGACTCGGTGCTTCCTCAAAATCAGAGAATGTAACTAAAACCATGGAACCTTCCACCTCCGTCCTCAGGCCAAAGTTAACATGGAGTTCTAGGAAGGCATGGAACATGGAGAAGAAAAATGGTGTATTGGAGTACACGTTCTCGGATAGTTCTTTTGCCACTTGCTCCAATGAAGATGCACTTGAGCAATCATCACCATCTTTCTCGCTTTTGCCAATAAACTTTTCTGCAACATGTAGGACATGCTAATCACATATTGGCGCATCTAAAATCTTCAGACTCTTCCAAGGACCAATGACGATCTAAATTTGCCGCAAAATGTAGTGTTGAAACTTGGAAGGATAAAAAATATAAAAAAAAACCAATGGATACAGGACTTAAAAAAATGAATAACTACCAAATGTCCAAATCCTCCTACCTACAGCAATAACGACGAAGTCTTATCCAACCTAGTTATATGGATCACACGGTGTCATTTGGCTCAGTTAATATCTAGTCAAATTTAAAAGCTATCTGCCGACCCTTTTAGTATAGATACATAGTAAAATCCTCTCATTTTTAGTTATAAAATAACTGTTTAGCAGAAGAATGCGAATATTATGCATGCAAAACAATTGAATATAAAAATGATATAAGGGCCCAATGATTAAATGCCCATACAGACAAGGATGTAAAGTGGAGTGCAGTGCCTTTCTATGCTCCAAATGGAGTGAGCATGCTGAAAAAATGCAGTGAGATTACTAGGTTGGCAAGAGAAGTAGCTATACAATGGGCAAAAGAAACTGAACAAAAGAATCCTCAGCTGCAAGTAAACATACACGCATTTTCTCTGTTGTACCAAAAAACAAACAGCTGAATTGCCCCACACTCGTCAGTAAATACAGTAAAGAAAACTTTCCTCCGCTGCTTTCGTCTTTTTTTTTTTTTTTGGTGGAGTGGGGGAGGTGAGGGTTGGGAGGTTTTAGTTGCATTTTTCTGGAAAGTTATATATAAGTTTCCTTCCTACTGAGGTTTTTTCCCATAATTTCGTATCCTACCTGTCAATTTTGGACAAAAGATCCTTGTTAATTTTGGAAGAGGGAGAATGGAAAAGAATTTACTGTTTCCATAGCGTCACAGGAGAAGGGTGAGTTTTTTGTTCCCAGGTTCAGATTCTCTTGCCCTATAAAGAAACTATATTGTACCGCTCCAATACTTTGGTTCCATATTCGGCCCACCACTTTTCAGCTTGTTCTTCTGTGAAATGCTTTCGACTGTAAAAGTAATTGAGAATTTCAATTAAGAGTGTATGAAGTCTGATTGCTAGATAAAATATAAATAGATAAAGAAAATATTCTAAAACATCCAACACAATTTTAAATAAATGCAGTGGTTTTTCTTTTTACTTTGTTTTTTGTGCTCCACATAGTATACACATAGATAGCAAAGGAGGGGCTGAATCAAACATGTGTCCCCATCCCTTGATTTCAGTGAAGACATAGGATGCTTTACCAAGCCAAAGATCAGGCCACAATTAATACATATTTCACTCGAAACTATTTCCTTGATTGAAAATTGGATGACAGCCCCTAGCATACGAGGTTTTGAACAGTTTAGCATGACATTAAGACTTTTAACATTTGCAAGGAACCCTAGTTTTGGTCATTAGCTTCTTCCCATCATTCACTTGAGAATCAAAGGGTAAAATAAGATAAACAAAAATAATATATATATATATATATATAAATATATATATATA